CGTCTGATTTGGGTGATGGTCTTTTTGTCTATACGTGTGTTTAAGAGAGAGAGAGACTAAACGCAAGTTTTCTTAGGAGTTTGACCTTTGTCCTCACACACTACTCGGCATCGGGTGTTTAATGGAAAGATAAATTCTCTAGATTCGCTTGAGATATGCACATCAAAGTAATCTTTTTATTCGGTCCGACCTTGGGCTAGATTTGAACCCGTATACCGAGCAGAATTCTACCGACTTCACCTCGGAGCCAGGCTGTCTTTGGAAATAGATAGGCGCGTGAAAGGTACTCGAGGCCATGACGTTGCGCAGGGCTTAGTGTAGACCGAATTGGGTGTAGGTGGAATTCTATTCACCCAAAGACTGATAGTTGAATTTTCTCTAAATGAATGAGAACACCTTTTTAGAAGCAAGCTTGAGTGAAGTTCAATGGATTTGTGAGATATACTCAGATAAGTGTGCGAAAATTCATCTTTTAGCCCTTAATTACCTTATACGATAGAGGGCGAATACAGCTGCCTTTATTCAAGATCTACTAATAGTCTCGAAAATTTACTTTAGCTGAATATGGAGGCAAACGGTCGGGCTCGAACAGTTAAATTTCGGTAGATTTGAATGAAGCGATGTTCGCCTCAGGTCCGACTGGGAGAGCAAGCTTGACGACTTTCGAGGGAGTGGTACAGGCGTCAAACTGAACAGGCCAAGTCCTAGAGACTCATAGTACAGCTGCCCTCAACGACAAAAAATCGAGCCCACTTTGCTGGTCCGACTTGGTAACGACTGGGCTGCTCCAATGCTAGGCAAATCATGACAAACAAAACCATACACGCCGAAAAAGTGCCCGAGGCCAGATCAAATTGGCGCTAAAAACAGTCACACAATTATATGAGACGTCACACAATTAGTTTCTCTGGCGAACTTCAAAGTTGGTGTTTTAGAAACACTCCAAAGTCCAGAAAATAGCTCCCAACTTATTAACTTCGTCCACTCTTTACTTTTGACTTTGATGTCGACTCCTTCGCCTCCTGCCATCACGAAATAGTCTAAAAAAGCGGGATCGGTACATAAAGGACATGGTTGCTATGGTTATTGGGCCGACACGAGGCCATGCTCTTAAACCCACAAACGTCCGAGCTAATATACAGTGACAGATGATGATGATACTGATTGAAATGCTGATTGATGGCTGGCCCATTGTAATGATGATAATTGCAGCCAATGCACAGTAGTTTCCATGGTGCCCGGGCGGTTTAACACGAAATTCTATGTTTGAATATATAATCACGCTTGCTAACGGTAATATTGGTACATACTAAATGAGGACATAATGTAAGTAAACGATTATTTAATGTCAATGTAACAGCCAGTTCGTGAGGTATTGGCCTACTCACAGGACCACTAAATGTCCCCCGGATGTGCATGGAGTATTCATTTTTCAATACGGAACGTCACAGGCTTCTTTGGCTTCCTCGGACTGGAATCCCACGAGACGAAAAGAATATTGGCCAGAAGCACGATGATTTGCCTTTCAGCTCGGCAAAAGGTTTTAGAATTGATAGTATTTTCTGGTTATGGTAGAATCAGAAGTACGGGAAGGAGTAGAAGCAATATTGCTATTAATTGTAATATCAGCAGTAATAATATTAGTAGTAATAATAATGGTAATATTGATAGGATAGTAATAGTACTAGTAATGGTAATAATAAAAATAATAGTAAAATTAATAGTAGTCATAGTGGTAGTAATATTAAAAATAATAGTAGTAGTAAGCGCAGTAATAATAATATTGGTTTTAGTAATAGCAATAAAAATGATGATGATAATAATAATAGCAATAGTAGCAGTAATAGTGATAATACTTGTTGTTGCTGTTGTTTTAATTACATATGTTGTTTGATTGAAATTTTCAGAAATCTTATTGTGGAAACCTTATTAATATATTTGTCGTTTATAAGTAGGGTTTCGAAACTATCAGTAAATCAGTTATATGAGAGGTATTCAGCCTATTTCGTTTAAGGTGATGAAGGACTGGTAGTAGAATTTTACCACAATGATATGAGTAGAGCTGACGTTTCCATTAAATTTCACATAGACGTTTTGTCCCAAAAGTTGTTCTCATTTAGTGTGGTCTGCAGTTTCAAGCTCGCATAGGTCTTATCGACATCCCCAGCGGGAGTCGAACCGTGATAGTGCAGAATGTGAGCTTGACACGTTATCTACTCGGCCAATTGCCGCGAAGCCCTTGGGTCACATGGCAGATGTGAATTTCTAGGAAGGCCAGACCTTTTCCCATATCACATTCTTTGGTGGGATTGTCAGTGAAGAAAACATATTTTTTCTATAACCTTCCTTGGAATTCACATCTGCCCTGTGACGCAAGTGCACTCGTGGCAATGTGGACGAATGATTAACGTGTCAAGCTCACATTCTGCACTATTATGGTTCGACTCCCACTGGGGGTGTTGATAAGACCGATGCGAGGTCGAAACTGCAGTCCACCCTGGAGGAGAACAACTTTTGAGAAAGCAAGGCTATGTTAAATTCAATGGAAACGTCATCCCTATTCATAATTGTGAAAAAATTCTACAACCAGTCCTTCATCACCTTAAACCAAATATGCTGAATACATCTCCTTTAACTAATTAACATAGTTCATAAGACATTCTTCCTTGTTTTGGTTGAAACCTGGCTATTCATTCGTCCATCCCAGCTGGAACTCATTATTCTTGAGTGTGCCAGCCTGAGTGAGATATGAAGAGAAACTGGGTTTCGATAAATCTCTTGAGATAACATTGTTAGGGGGACTTTTATTTCATATGAAAGTGCATGAAGAAGAGCTTCGTAGATCGATCTCACCAGAAGAGGACGGATGATTCGCTTTGTGCTACAGCCGTTTGGCTTTTATACGATATTCAGGTTTACGCAGTCAACGAGACTTCCTCCCTTGTTTCAGGTGAAAACGTGCTGAGCTTTCGTCAATCATATGATGGACATCATCAGAGCTAAGCCTCATTCTTGTAAAAGTCTCACATTAAAACTAGGGCAGGAACACTATCCGGCCTTATTATACAGACTCAATTGAGCCTAAAGAAAATTAAAAACCTAGATAGATCGATTTAGAGTAGTTTACTTAATTATCTTTCATACTGGTCCTGTTACTTTTGCTCGAGTGTATGCGTATGTGTATCTGAGCCGCCGTCAAAAAGAAGGCGACTTAATTTGTCTGCTCGGTGATGGTTTAAATTTCACTCACATTCGTCCAAAATGTTAGAGTAAGCTCATCCACCAAACCAAACATGTCAGATTACGCAACCCCAGTCTTGCCTTTCCTTGGGAGGTTAAACGTTAATGACCCTAGATTGAAAGGTTAGGAGAATTGGTTTTGTAACTTGATTTTCATACTTACAAGCTCATCTCTCATTATCTCAACCATACTTGTCTACGGACTTACGCAGTCTCTGTGAAGGATTTCTCTTGGGTCATTAGGTCTTGAGGATCAAAACCTGATATTCAAGCTTTAGACAACTCTGATTTAGTAACCGTATTGCACATAGACGCTAACACACAAATACACATGCTCACACAATCGAGCAAAAATAACAGGACCAGTATGAAAGAAAATTAACCAAACAACTTTATATCGATCTTTCTAGGTTTTTAATTTTTAATTTTTCAGCTTGATTGAGTCTATAAGAAGTAAGATGAAGCCGGATAGTGTTCTTGCTTTAGTGTTAACGTGAGACTTTTACAAGAATGACACCAAGCTCTGATGATGTCCATCATACGTTGGACGAAAGCTCAGCACGTTTTCACCCGCAACGAGAGAGGAAGTCTCGTGGACTGCGTCAGCATGAATATCGTATAAAATCCAAACGGTTGCAGTATAACGAGATTTATTCGTTCTCATCTGGTGAGATCGACCAACGAATCTCTTATTCATTCACTTTCATACCAAATAAAAGTCAAACAGCTCCCGTAGGCTTCTGGTGAGTTCAATCAGCGAATCTCTTAATTAGTCTAGGCAACAAGTTTATTTCCAATTATAGGAAAACCTTTACTACCAGCAATAGCAAGTAGACTGAGATAATACTTTTTGTGTTAATAGACGACTTCTAAGGTAGCAGTGAGCATCGTCGGCAAGTCTTGATGGTCAGAACAAATATCACTCCGATATAGCAAAGATCAATTGTATTCACTAACTTCCTGAAAGAGATTCCGTTTATTTTTTAATGAGTAGTTGTCGAGACTATCAGTAACTCTTTAACTTAGTCGTCCAAGGCGCTTAGGGGGATATTTGAGATTTTTCACATCGCGTTGTGGAAAGCAGTAGCAATAAGAATAGAATTATTTATTTTTCTTGTAGTGGTGGCGGTGATGGTAGTGATGCGAGTAGTAGCAACAGTAATGGTCGTAGCATTATTAGTGTTAGCGACGGTAATAACAATAGCATTTATTGTTGTCACTGTTATGATGCTGGCGGTGATGGTGGTAGCAACAGCAGCAGGAGTAGCAGTACTATTAATAGTAAACGTGGTTATAATAGTCATGCTGATAATACTAATACTGGTAGTATTAGTGGTAGTAGTTGATGATGCTAGCGGTTGTAGCAGTATAGTAGTAGTAGTTGCTGTTGTTTTTTAGTAATGGTGAAGGTAGCAGCATAATTAACCACACCCACAGCAGTGACAATAGCAATAGTGGTAGTAATAAAAACAATAACAGTAACAGCACTAATAGTAGTGAGGGAGAGTAAGAAAAGGGAAGACTATCGAAGAGCTGAGGGTACGGACGAGGTGTGGGCAAAAAATGGATATAAGACAGTGGGAGTGGAAGAGGTGAGAATGGGTGAGAAAAGGAGGGGTATGAACAGGCCAGCGATGGTCCTGGCCAATGGAGTGAAGCAAGTAGCATGGGGGCAAGGGCGGAGATACTGCATGTCAGACTCACTAGACTGTCGTTCTCTTGGGCTGGGGTAGAGAAAGCCGACTTGGGGTGGGGTAGGGAGGGAGGGAGAGGATAGGGGTGGGCACTGGTGGAGACAGGACAATGGCCTTTGAGTGGCTCCGGTGACTCGACGAGATGTCGAGGGCGAGCCTAAGAACCGAGGGAAATGGGCAAACTCTGCTCTTCGCGTTCGACCATGGGGCGTCCGCTTTCCCTTTTTTCCGCTTCCCAGGCTCTTCTTCCTCCCCCTCCGTTGTCCGCCCCACTTTGCACATTCTGTAGGCTTGTGTTGTTCCCGCTGGCTGGCCGGGAGACCGGAGATTTTGTCAGAAAAGTGACTGACTGCAGTCCCTGGAGTGTAAACTGAGTCGACACTGGCCAACTTCCCCCCGGCACCACTAGAACCCGTTGTCCAAATCTCTCCTTTATTGTGCGTGTGCGCGTGTGTGTATGTGTTTATGAATGTATTTAGTATCTTAAAAGCCGACTAACAGATAATAAATGGCTTGTAGGTAATCGTTTACTCTTTCACGATTAGCTGCCTCCGTCTCGCCGCCTTCCAATACGGTAGCTGGTGTCTATGCGTGTCCTTTCTGTTCATTGTGGTCTGAAAACTGGTCTACAGAATCAAGCTGGTCGAACAGACAGGGCTGAGGCTGCTCGAGTCTCCAGCTGTGCTGAGATATCCAAACGACTCGATGATGACGCAATTCTCGCCCACGCCCGTCGCCAAGTCAATCTGGCCAAAGAGTGATAAATTGACGATGGAGATGCCAGATCCCATGAGACCGGTGTGGGCTCATGTAGTCGTGGGACGAGGGCTGTATAGGGCAGAGAGGGTATGCGGGGGTTGTGACCCACTGCCTCCGACAGCATGGTTCCACTGGGCGAGGCCATCATTTACATGTATTATCCTCAGCCCTTGGGGAAAATATGCTAGTCAATTAAAGTGAAACTGTGCAAATCGATAAAAGAAGATGAGCTCTGGCAGAGGAGACGGTGATACGGAGGCGAAGAAGGTTATCGATGGAATGGAGGAGGATTGGGGAGGACGAGTAAAAAGTAAATGGGCTGGCGAAAAGAGGATGTGCATCTATGGACTATGAGTAAATTGGCAGGCAAACTCACACGGACTGATCAAGCGTGTACCATTTAAGTCGACCAAATGAAGTATTTTTCAATTGGCCAAGTACACAGTCGTTCCGTTAAATCGGCAGAATCTTCCCCATCCGGCCAAACCAATCATCATGTCGGATAGAAATCGATGCGCCACTGAAGGGCAACTCGTCTGCCAGTCGTCGAGAGGACCGAGGGGGGCATGTATGACCGTCAGGAAGGGTTCGTCTCGATCTCCTTCTGAAGTCTTTCGGTGTATTCAGTCTCCGAGGCAATCCCAAATCCTACAGCCTATATGCTGAAGGTAAACTATACACGTCTGCATTTTGATGTAGTGTCAAGAGAATTTGTTAATTTATGTCAAACATCACTCTAGAAGGGTGTACAAATGTCCCCTGATCTGTGAGTTCATGAGTACCTAAGGCTATGGAGCCAACGATGATAGCTCAAAATAATCCCAAGGTTGAATAACACTTTGTAGTCAGACATCTGTTTTGTCCAGTTGACTAGCTTTTTTCGTGTGCGTGTGTGAATTCGGACGTAAAGAAAGTGTAACCGTCGAGTCCCTCATCACACATGTTCAATCGAGATGGAAGTGTATTCAACATTTTCAACTGAGGTGCTTCCTCGGAAACCAATGAGCCTGGGCTTTTGAGGGGGAAGATGATGCCCTGGCTCCGGGTGCCTTGTACGCCCAAAAAAGAGGTACCAGTCGGCTCAGGGACATATTTTTTCCGAGGGTCTACTCCCGGGGATAAAAGGGAAGAAGAAGACTTAACCGAGCACGATTTCTCACTTCCGAGTCCCATCCAGGCTTCCTTGAAACTGGACTTTGCGAGACGACACGAATAGCCAATCACAACAGGCTGGGGAGGCATCACTGCCTAAAGACTTGAATGGGCTGAGTTCACCAGGCTGCATACAACTGCCAGGCTGAGTAGGTTGGGTACAAGTAAATATTATATGTTAATACACATATAGTATTTATATATGTATATTTTATTTATTTATTTATAATATTTAGTAGAGAATACTCCGTTGTCTGCTGACCCGATCTACTCGCGCAATTTACCTCTCGTCGTCCCACCCAATGGAGGCTGGCTTCATAGAAAGGACTAGTAAATAGGGGTATGTAAAATAATGAATTGCATTTATATATAAGTCTATATGATATAAAATAATATAATATGTATTTTGCACACGACTGCCAGGGTGCAGCTATTTATAATAAAATATATATAAAAATAAGCATGTATAAATTGTACATATATATAGTAATATTAAATATAGATATAGTATTCATTCATGAATATTTATATTATCTTTCGTATGGAAGTAGAGTTTCGAGACTACCAGTAAATCAGAAATATGAGATTTATTCGCCCTAGTTCGTTTAAGGTGATAAAGGACTGGTAGAAGAAATTCAATGGAAACAGATTCATCCGTTCACTTCTGGTGATATCGACCTACGAATCTCTTCTTCATGCACTTTCATACGAAATGAAAGTATCCACAACAATATTTTTTTAAAAAGGTTGTTTGACCTTGTTTTCGCAACTTGGTCATATTGGTAGGAATATTTAGAGGAACGCACCTTGTCTTGAGTCCATTGTATGCATAATCATTTCCAAAGTCGGACCGGGGACGTGGTACATTCCCAGACGTTTCGCCGGCATCGTAATCGGCATCGTCAATGAATCTCACTATTCTTAGCACCACACAACAACTCGTCAAAGAGACAATTGAAGCCGATCCTTTGATCAAACGTGTGCTAAACAGCTGTAGTATCTCCGCTTCTGCCCTGGGCTATTCACATTTCCTATATCCTCCTATCACGCCTTCACTTTTACAATTTTTACTCTGCTTATTTAGATATAGTGTGGTGTGCTCCTTTGAGTGGCATTCATGAAAACCTTTCACAGTCCACGCTGTCATTATCACCCCCTTCACCCTTGCGTTTGGAATGTTGATCCGTCTGCAGAAGACGAGATACCATAACTGTTTAGCACACATTTGGTCAAAGTATCGGCTTCACTTGTCTCTTTGACGAGTTGTTGCGTTTTGCTAACAATGGCGAGACTCACTGACGATGCAGACTACGATGCCGGCAAAACGTCTGGTTATGTACCACGTCCACGGTCCGACCCTGTAGATCATCATGCATAATATGGACTCCGGAAAATCTGCATTCCTCTAGGTTTTTCTGCCAATATGATCAAGTTCCGAAAACAAAGTCAAATAACTACTATGCATCGAAAGGAGACGGTGAACAGAATAGAGCCCAACACATCTTGGTGGAGATGATTACGCTTCACGAAATCCACTTGTAGCGATATACTCTTAGGCGACATTGGAGGAAACGAGAGCATATAATTGTGTAAATACGTAGATGGACCATGTGAAGGGGGGTTGAGAGAAAGAGATGTGGCACTAAATAGTTGAACGAAAAATAGGGCGATGAGTGATGCCACAACGGTTGATCAGAAAATTTCTCGAGCTGATTGCCTTCACTTGGCACATTGATCAATTGTAACTCCGTGCTTACGATGGCGCCTCTCACTGACAATGACGACTACGAAGCCGGTGAAACACTTGGGAATGTATCCAGCAAATGGTCCAATGCTGAAAATCACGACTACTATGGCAGATGATACGGGACTGGGCACGTTCCACAAGGTCTCCCGACGCTCCGACTAAGTTGCGAAAACAAGGTCGAATCAACACTATAAGGCTAAATGAGACTGCAACCAAACAGAAGGCCACACGGTCTTGGTCTTCATATCTACGACTTCGAATCTACTGTTTAAAAAAGTTTGTACATTGGCACAGAGGGAGTTCTTTCTAAAGGTTTGAACTTTGCGTTGCCAAGCGGTAAGGATAACAAGGAGGAAATATTGGTAGAACTCATAAGTTTTATTGACCGTTTGCCTGAAGAGACTGGGAGTGATATCGAGTTGCAAGTTGTCCCTTTAAGTGATAGCCATGTAGAGGGATCGCAAAAGCATAATCGAGTAAACAGCAGCATCAAAAATCGAAGAGAGCAGGAACAAATATTATTAAGGGCAGACAAGGGAGGAGCAGTGGTGGTCATTGATAATGTTAGTTATGTAGAAAAGATTTTGCAGGCACTAGATGATAAATAACGACCCTACAGAAATCCTAATATCCAGGCTCAAAGGTTGCCTGTAGCACTGTGTAACAAATTAAAAATTAAAGAAATGGAAAATGAGCATACTACATCAGCGAGATACCAGGCCCCAGAATGCCTATGGTCTGCCTAAAAAACATAATTATTGAAGTAATAAGGGTAAATTAATACATAAAACATCACGATATATGTGTCAGCAAATAAAACGAATCTCCGAAACATGGCATTTTTCAATAAGGAACTCTTAAGAGTTCGTTCAGTCAGTCGATGAAGAGAAATTAGGAGATAAAGATTTGCTTGCATTTCAGTAAGCGGAAGCTACTCGGGATCTAGAATTAACTTTGGGCCGAATCCCGGATATTATGAGAAATACAAATTTAGGTAATGAGTCAATAATGATGTTAATGAATTTAGTGATGAGATGTACAAATTTTACTTTCAATAGTAAACTGTACTTACAATCAAGACGCTTGGGTATGGAATCATGTTTGTCTAAAATGTTTAAAAATGACTGCATGGCTCAAATGAAAACTCGCCTAATACAAGAAGCAATTTGGGTTCCCCAATTATGAGTTAGGTACATGGATGACTACTTTGCCGTATGGAAACATGGCAAATAAAGTATAGGAGAATCGACGGGAATATCAAGTTCACCATGGAACTAGAAAAGGATGGTATTTTACGCCTACCACCCTATCTGTACTACTTGAAGTGTTATTTCCCACGATATTTCATGCCTTTTGTGGCACACATACTCTCGCCTCGCTGAGTAGGTCCATAAGAATCAAGATTCTAAAGCTAGATAGGAGAATAACTGGAGGCTAAAGAACCCGGGTAATTCTCATAGTCAAGTCTTTGCCTAATGGATCCCAACCATGATCAAACACGTCTACTGTTGGCCAACTAGCTCTAGTCCCCGCCGCATCCATCGTGCTTCTAGCCATATGGCCTAATCTATAACTTCTTGTGCCCTAGTCTCTTTTGTGTGCCCACCCATAAGTGTTGTGGTTCTACATATTTTGATTTGGTTCAGTGTTGAACCATGTGCTATGGATAGAAGCAGGATAGTTACGGAGGCGACTAGAGCTATTTGGCTAACAGTAGACGTGTTTGATCATAGACGTGGTCCATGAAGCAAAGGCTTGACCATGAGA